TGTCACTGCTGGTGTCCGCCCTTTTCCGTTGGCCATGTAGCATTTCTGTTTATTTGTCTCCGAGGTCTGTCACTGCTGGTGTCCGCCCTTTACCGTTGGCCACGTAGCATTTCTGTTCATTTGTCTCCGAGGTCTGTCACTGCTGGTGTCCGCCCTTTTCCGCTGGCGATGCAACATTTCTATTCATTCCCCAAACAGTTTGCCGTTACGTAGGGTTTCTCAATTCTTTCTTAAGATGTGTCTGCCCTTTCTGTCACTGCTGGTGTCCGCCCATTTCCGCTGGCCATGGAGCATTTCAATTCGTTTGTCTTTAAAGTGATTTCTTTACTTTTGTCTCATTCATTTGTTTCCCATGTGGTTTCTGTACCTCCCCAAACAGGTTACTGTTAGCGGTTCTAAATGCTTTCTAAGAGTGTCCACCTCGCTGTCCGGCTTGTCTCTCTTGGTCTCCCTTCTTGTTGCTCACTGTGTCCCCCTTCTTGTTGGTCACTGTGTCCGCCTTGTCTCCCTTCTGTTTCCTTTTGTCTCCCTTCTTGTTTCCCTTTTTGTTGGTCATTGTGTCCGCCTTGTCTTTTGCCTTCTTGTCTCCCTTCACTGTGTCCGCATGTCTCCCTTCTGTCCCCCTTGTTGTTGGTTGCTGTGTCCGTCTTGTCTCCCTTCTGTTTCCTTTTGTTTCCCTTCCGCTTTGTCGCCCTTCTGTCTCCCTTTGTCTCCGGTCTTGTCTCCCTTCTTGTTGGGCACTGTGTCCGTCTTGTCTCCCTTCTGTTCCCTTTTGTCTCCCTTCTTGTCTCCCTTGTTGTCCTCCTTCTTGTTGGTCATTGTGTCCGCCTTGTCTTCCTTCTTTCCTTTACATGTGCCTCCTCTCTCCCCCTCTCGCTTGCAACCCTTCACATTTGTCTCCCAACTGCTCTGCCCTGCAATCCTTTACATGTGCTCTAGACTGCTGTATCCGCCTCTGCCTTGCAATCCTTTATTTGTCACCCAGCTCTGGGCTGCGTGTCGCTTGCAATCCTTTACATTTTTCTCCCTGCTGTGGCCGCCTCTGCCTTGCAATCCTTTGTCTCCCAGCTCTGGACGTCGCAAGCTCTAGTTGCAGAGTGTTCCGATTTTCAAAAAGACAAACTGTTTGGGGTCTACGGTGATGTAATCTGAATTTTCGCAAAGCAGAATATAGTCAGGCCGCTACTAGGGGCTCCTGGCCTTACTACTAGGAGCAAGAAGCTACTAGTAACAAAGGGCATCGCTACTAGGAGCAAGGACGTTTGCTGGTGGGTTTAGTGTGTCCGCCTCCTGGCATCCCAGCCTGGGTAGTGTGTCCAATCTAAGTCAGTTTGGGCTAGTGTGTCCGCATCTTTACATTTGTCTCCCAGTCTGGGCTAGTGTGTCTTTACATTCGTCACCGTCTCCTTAAGAGCAACTTTCTACATTTGTCTCCCAAAGCCCACCTTCTGGCAAGTGCTTAGTCGCAAGCTTGACATTTTCCTCCCAGTGTCCGCCTTTGGCAAATCCTCAACAGCAATTGTTTTTTTGTCTCCCAGTCTGGGCTACTGCGTCCTCCTTCTGGCAAAAGCAATACCTTCTTTTCTGTCATTTTTGAGATGCAGAGTTACGACGGTCAACTGTTTGGGGTCTACGGTGTTGTAATGTTTTTTTACAGCGTGCTCGACTATCGTGGGGTGGTTGGATATTGCAGGCCATCAACTCGATTGTCCAGAAGGAAAACATGTACAACAGTGACCAAGAATCCGTACAGGAAGCGGTGTCAAATCAAGACTTGGAGTCCGAGCTCTGGCAATTGGGAGAAGCAAGCCATGCACCCTTAACTCTTAAATTCTTTGATGTTTTTGGTTTGCAAAGAAGGCTGGTTGTAGTCAGCACTTGCTAGGCTGCTGCTAAAAGGCTCGTGAAACCCATTCTCACGTCACACCATCTCAGAGAAAGGCTTGAAGCAGGTTCCATGGCCCACAACTCCCATGAACCCGAAAGCAACACAATAGTTTGTATGGTAGCCACCTTTATATGTGCCCGAGAAACTCTTCAACCGTTAAGTCCACTTTCCATGAGAAACTTTCTGTCCTCCCTGTCCTTAAAGGACCTTGGATTCCAAAGCCCCTTTATTTGCCGGAGGCTTCCCGCTCAAATTCCCCTGAATCCACACAAGATCTTGCCTCTTGCGCGGGTCGATCTTTATGGACTTTTGACCGGACCATTTTGGTAACGTAGATATTTTTTTGCCCGATGTCATTGTAACTGCTGTATTGATGGTCGAGTCTTATTCGTGGAAACATTGCATGCTCGGTGTGTCAGGCAGAAACAAGTTGTACAAGAGTGTTGAAAAAGGGCTGTCCGGGTTCACGCAGGAGTCCTGTCCAGAAGTGCATCACAGAATACCGTATAGAAGTATTTTACATAGCGTAGACAAACAGTTTTGTGAAGTACAGCTGATCACAATGATAGCAAGGAAAAGAAGTTGTTTGGGCCTCGAAAGTAAAGCTCCCTTTAAAGGGGCCTTATTTTACTCTCAAGTCGGCGCACGACAAGGTCAGCGGCAATCAACGAGCTTCCGCGTTGATGGTCAGTGAACCCGACTAGAAGACAAAAGGCACTGTTACAAGAAGGAATCAAAAGGAATGCATCATGAAGAAGTTAAAGGGGCCTTATTAAAGAGGCCCAAACATTTTTGGTGCTCTTTTTCTACGCTTCTCAGCTGCGGGAGTGGCATGCCGGCTTTTCCACCCCAGACAAAATTGAGGCACCATAAAAAAAGAAACACGCACACAGAAAGAAAGGTCCAAAGAAATATTAAAACAAAAGCAAGAAAAAGAACCAGTCCAATAGCACAAAAGAAAGAAACGACAAAGGAATTCTCGATGTGGCAGTTGATTTGATTTGCCTTTCACTGCCACTTGCTGCTCAATGGTCCAGTTGGGATCTTTGCCCTGAGCTGGAGCTTTTCGGAAACTTGTGTGGGCCTTCAGCACTCCTCACTGAATGACACCCGAAGCTGACCACGTTGCAACGGAGCTTACTTTGCAAATGTTCAATGCGAAGTTGCAGACATTTGAACATTTGCAAAGTCAGATGATGAGTCAGATGGCTATCACAGCTGGAGAAAGATCGCATCAAGTATTGCGGCTCTCACTAGCGCAGCAGCCAGCAACAGAAGTTCCACAATGCTCAAACATGGCGCATGCTGAGGAGTTTACTATTTGTTGTCATGGTTTGATTGCTTTCATGTCTCGCACAGTGGCACTCACAACCCCACAACCAGCTGGAAAGAAAACTTCTCCAGCAAGCAAGCCCAGAGAACACATCTATTGTGCCAACATTTTTTTTTTATAAAATTCAACATTTAAATGCTTCACCATAGTCAAGTGAACATGGTGTTGCATGCAACCCCCAACCATGTTCTTCTTTGAGGCGATTGACAACTCAGGCCGCAAGTGGGCAAAACGACATTACACCGTTTAAGTCCTTAGGTGGTTTCTTCTTTGAGGTTGCCACAATTGCCCACCCACGCTGAGGTGCCGCGAAAAACATATTCCGGAAGGTTTTTGAGGAGACCTTGCCTCCACCTCAGAAGCGAAAGGCATTTGCTTCAATATGTGAACTTGAGGAGTTGTTATATGCAAAGCAGGCCGTGGCAACCACTTCCAAGAGAAAGACTGCCCCCAGCCCAGCGTCGAGATTTCTTTGAGCACTTACAAGCTTCGGTGTGTCGAAGGTCTTTAGCAATGGAGTCCGCTTTGCAACTGATCAAGTCTGCAAACGCCATGACTCCACAGGCTTGCAAACGCGACGAACGAAACGAGCTTAACAAAATCACTCTGATTCATTGCCTCGCCAGACTGAAGAAGAGTGCGGCTTGGGAAAATTGTCCCCGCCTTAGACAGCTTGCCTGATTTTGGCTTGTAAGACGCTAAACAAAAGAGAAGGAAGACAAGGCCGCCTTCAAAGGAGGCCTTATATACCCTTATCTCTTGCGCCTTGAAAGTTTGGCAGCTTCACAGCAGCTTCACAGCATCACTTCCAGGACCATTCAACTTTTCTCTTTCGCATCCATTGATGAGCCCCAAGTTCTATGCCAAGTTGAAACATATCAAAAGGCATATCGATTTGACGCTTCCTTGTTCTGTTGTGCTGGCGAAGAGCTGCGATGGTTTCATAAGGTGCTGCTACAGCTATTCGCTGGGTTCGAGCAACTGGCATCACCAGTGCCTCGGGCAGATTGTACGTCGAGGAACCAGCCATGCTATGTATACTGTATAGTATTTTTTGGCCTAGTTGCTCTTTGATTGTATATTATGAATGAATGATGTTCTAAGATGTTGTAGGGGCGTTCTTAAAGCATAGCAACTATGGTCAGACTATAATGATTATTTTGGAGGGACGATCCTGGTGCAGGTGAAAGCCGATGAGAGAATCAGTACAGCGTACAGCACATACAGCAGATGCAGACGCAGTCAACGCAAGAAGTGCTTCTCCAATTTTTGGCTCAAGGTCTCGCAAACTTCATCAAAGGTGGTATGAACTTGACAGAACCGAGCGCAGATCGAAAAGAGCGCTTGCCCAGATCGATTTGGTGGACAGTCCGGGGAGGAGCCGATCAAGGACACACAGTCCTGAGAGTCAAGCTCCAGGACCACCAACCAGATAGAAGAGTTCAACGCGAAGCTCAGGGACTTACCCAAGAAGTTCAGGAGGACCGAGCAGAACTACAAAGCCTCCAACAGGAAAGGTTTGAAAGTTCAGGCGCAAGTTGAAAAGTCATGAAGCTTACAAAAACTTACAAGACTTGGAGTACACGCCAACCTAGGTTGACAGTTTAAGGTTTAGTGAAGACGAGAGGCCGTGAGCAATCATCGGTCGGCGCCGGCAGTGGTTGCAGTCTTGCTTGCCAAGCACCAGCGCAGCTAAGAGCCCAACAGAGTTCTTGACCAGTTTGCTTCTCTGCAGGACAAGCAAGAATTTGAAACACCAACAAAAGAGCGCGGCTCAGAAAGGAATTGAAGGAGTTGAAGGACTTCCAGTCCGACTCGTTCCAAGCCTTTGGCGACCAAGGAAAGCGGCCTGTGATTTCTATACCCTCAAGGGTGGAAAAGATAAAGAACCAAAAAGGTCAAGGAACCCAATTCCAAAGGTCAGAGCCAAGGGGGTCCTGATGGTCGTCATCCTCAACTTGAGGTTGTGCTGCCAACCAGACAGCCAGCAATGACCCTGCCGTTCGGGTGGGAGAGCTGATCAGGCCTATCGCGGTGTACAGTTGCAGATGGATCGCCTTTGAATGGGAACTTCGTGTGAAGCTCTTGCTGCAGTTCGTCGTCTCACCAACGGGTTTGTTGTCCATCTGTTCACCGACAAAAAAACCAATTTGTTCACCAATTCGTTGCCGTCCAACTGCCGTGGGGTCTTGGACATAGAAGAGCTTGGGCTGCCGGAAAGGAGCCCGTTTTGGGGGATCGGGGATGGCCCCAGCCGGCCGTAACCTGCGCGACTGGAAGAAAGGTCTTGACAATGAACTTGAATAGTCGCTGTCAGGCCCGCAGACAGAACACGCGGCTCAGCAGTAGTGTTGCGCGGGGGACGCCAAGCCTCCATTGCTGGCTGTTGCAGCCCCAGATCCGGTGTCCCGCAACACTCAAAGGACCGCTTCGCCCCGCGAAGCGGTGGACGGAGCCTCAGCAACGCTCAAGTTACAGCTGCCTCAAGCAACGATGTGGGGCTAGTGGCATTCTGAATAGTCTGTTGGCTGTTAAGTTCAACAAGTCGTGGCTTGACGGAACCTTCCCGGTTTTCTTGTAGAAGACTTCCTCTTGCTTCCACCTGTCTTCTCGGAAAGATTTCTCGCGTCAAAGGGTGTGCCAGTGAGTATTACGTGGTTGAACGCTTGAATTGCAGATTTGCAAGGACGGCAGGTCCCTGGAGATCCGCGGTTGCAGAAATAGCTGCAACTTGAAACTGTTATATGTTTTGGCTGAAATTCTGCCACTGCCTTTTTGGCAGAGGATTGCCGGTTTTAGTTTTTTCCGCTCCGTATGTGTGGAATCCCTTTTGCTAGGGTCTTCTCTTGAAATTGCTGTCTTTGTGACACAGCAATCTGGAAGCAGATTGCACATACCTGCAGAAATCTGGACGCAGATAACACGTACCTGCAGCAATCTGGACGCAGACTGCACGTACCTGCAGCAATCTGGACGCAGACTGCACATACCTGCAGCACCTGGACGCAGACTGCACGTACCTACTGCAATCTGGACGGACACAGATTGCACACACCAGAAAAAAGAGGCTGCCACGCACTGCCACAACGCGACCTCCGCTTGAGCATATCCAATAGTAGCTTTATAATCCTATATATATATATATATATCGGCTTTTTCTGTGTATATGTTAACGCACTGCGCCAGAGTTTTTGTGCAAGATAATTGCATGTTCATGTACCGAACGCCTGCCCAAACACAACTAAGTAAGTGTAAAGCAGTCCTGCTCTTCCAGGAAGAAGATTGAGGCCAATATTTTGACTACAGTTACTCCAATCAAACCCAAGTGTTTTAATATGTCTTAATTCAGGAATTCTTCCAAACGTGTGTGTGTGTGTGTTTTGCGTTGAACTCAAAATTGACCCTTGGCGTGCGTTCAATTTTTCACACCTTTGGCGCCTTTGGCGTCGACTGCAAAGTCAAATTAACTTTGACCAAGTGCTTCCGTAGCGTCCGCTCGTGCACTGTCCGAATTGCGCATGACTTGCTGATAGAACTGACCTTGCCCACTAGGTCTTCGTCCATCTGACATGAAAATGCGATAGGTGAAAAAATCCACAACTGTGTCTGGGAAGACACGTGGAGTCGATTCACCAAGTGCCACAAAACGTGAAGTTTCGGACTCAATTTAAATCTCGTTGACGACAGGGCGTAAGCATGGTTTGCCGCAAGCATGTACTTCTCGATTAGCTGGAAACCATGTGAGGCAAGGTGTCGCGCCTCTGGCCGTCGCAGAAACAAATGGCATCTGTAAACCCGGCGCATGAACTCGTTCCCCTCTTTCAACGCCAGGTGGATGCACTCCAAGTACTTCAAATGAACCCACCCCGACCCCTGACGTTCGTGAAGTATCTTGGAGTATTTGTACTCAAGGAACCTTGCCGCAGAATGAGTGTCACTTCCCTTGAACCACGACCTCAGATGAACACCAAGGACTAACCATATGCTGACACACCCTGTTCACACAAAAAACATGTTAGCAAAAAACTCCTCAGCTGAAACAAGTAGACCCACATGGAAAGTCGTGTTCAGCATTATAGCTCAGCAGTGTTCTCGTCAGCCCACTCATGTGAAGAGGCAAGCTTTGGTGCTTGCAATAGTTTTGCATCTCTGTGTAGAGACCCTGCAGACGCGCCGGCACGTCACCTGCGTAGCCAGCTAGGTTCAAATCCAGGAGGACCACCTGAGGTAAAGGTTGCAAGGAAACCTATCATGTAAGCAATGTTTTCCCATCTGCAAAAACAAATAAAATATTACACGTGTCTCATCAGAGCGTCAAAAGCTGATCCCGTCAGTTCAGCCATGACCCCCTTGTGCATCACATGAAAAGGATCTGGCCGGTAGAAGAACGCTTTTTGGGATGGGCTTGGGCTCTGCCGAATGATCGATGTGAAGGGCCCCTCGGAAGACCACGGAGGTGAAGGATGCTCCAAAGATGCAGCGCACATCCAGCTTCCATTGATGCAGTTATGCCAATCTGGGTACGAACTATCCCCCGCCATACACAGATGGCATATGCCCTTTCCAGCCCCTCGCTTTGCCAAACCTTGATGGTGAGTTCGAGTTAAGTGACCCAACTTCTTGAGCATTGGCCAGTCTCCTTTGCAGAAGAGGACCACAGGATAAATGGTCGTGCTTTGGCCCATGTAGCTGACTTGGACACCGCTAATGCTTACATCGTGGCACTCCTTCGCAAAGGCTTCAACAAGCCTCTCAAAAACATCTGGTCGTTTGTTGTACATGTTGGCCTTCATGACTGAATACAGCATCCTGGTTACGCAGCTATCACCCAGCATGTTCACACCAAGTTCGTTGCCCCTCTGGATACTGTATGATGTCCCTTTGCCCAAAATGGGCTGTAAGGACAAGATGAGAAAGGGCAACTTTTTGTGGCTTTGCCCTTCATCTCCATAAACGCACATTGGCAGTGTAACATGCAAGGAATCGCAGTGGGACTGAAATACAGGATGCATTGGGTCCTCTGACCTGTATCGTTCCCAAAAAGTGGTGCAGCTGCTTTTGAGATCAGCCCCTCCGGTCAACAAGTCCACCCTGCCGGCCTCGGACAGCATCGATATGTAGTCAGCCACGCGCAAAACAGGATGGGTCCGGGTCAGGCCAATCTCGATGGTAGAGATGGGACACTTGGCCTGCAGGTTCTGATTTTCTAGCAAACCAGTATGGCTCTCTTTCCTCGTCTTTGAAAGCCGTCGCATGTGTCGTAGTAAGCCAGAACTCTTGAGAACCACGTGGCCAGTGGCTTCCTGGTGCTCGTCCAAAAACGCCGAAGCCAGCTCACAGGTGATCCTGTCCGGCACCTCACAACATCAATCTATTCTATCATCCCCACGAACCAATTCAAAAAGGTATCGTCGTAGCAAGTTTGATCCCTCAGATACAGAAAACAAACACATACAAAAACAAATGTGGGTCATCAATTTTAATTTCACAAAGGTACTCCTGCGCTAATGGCTTTGGATACGGCAGCCCCCACCGCGGTGAGTTTGCGGCGTGAACTTGATGATGCCCCACCTAGACCAAGGGAACCCGCTACAAAGTATATGGTGTTTGTTTGCCAGGTGCTACTTGCAAAGATTGTATAAGCACGAATGGAAAGACTTGAAACTCGAGATTGCTCTAACAACTTTTGCTTTTCATCGCAAACTGCTCTCATCACCGCCATTGCTTTGTCATGGCCGTGTTCCAAGATGTACGGTCAACATACCCCATAAGAAGTGCTTTCAGGGCCCCAGAACCACAGAAAAGAACATTTGTGAACCTGGTGAACCAACGATGCCCTTTGCACTTCCAAACCCCCAATCAGTCACGCTGCTGAGCAGTGTCTGACTGCATCACTTCACTTCTTGGATTTGGTCTTGGCCTTGGCCTTGACCTTGGGAACCTTGCCTGTTTCAGGCTCAGCTGGCGCCTGCTCACGGCTGTTAGGAACAGCC